CAGTCCATAATTGATTTGTGATTGTTTAAAATCAAGATTATTAATTTCAAATCTTTCATGAATTAATTCTTGAATTGAAAATCAGTTTCGGACCATTTCGGACTAGATTGGACCAAAACTGTTTGGACCGAATCTAGGGTTCGAAAGGGACTGTTTTTTAATCCATCTTTCTCACACTTGTTGTTCCAAATCTGATGTTCAATTATAGAGATTAATTCGGCCCACCTGTAAAGCCCAGTTTTAAAGGGTTAAAACTACAAAACCCACTATTACGAGAACAGCTGTATGGGCCGAACAGCTAACTGCGATTTAGCCCATACACCTAGTCGACATTAATTGTTAATGTTAAGTTTTTTTTTTAAATGGGCTATTAAAATGGGCTTTACAGCAGTTGATTGATTAGATCAATTCCTCCTTTACATGTGATGATTGGATGTTTGATGTGTTCCGACCATGGGCCATAAGCACTTAGCCCATGAAGACTCGTTAGTGGCTCTTGCGCACACCATGGCTGAATGCACATCATTGCCATGGTGTCCCTTAAGGTCATTGGATGACCCCTCCTTGCTTGGTGGGCTCCACAACCCTGAAAAGGGATGCGTACAGAACCCCTAGCCGATTAAGGCCCACMAGAAATCTGACTTTATGAAAGTCAGTGGCCACTCTAGTTTGACCTAAATTAGAACTATGGCGTAATCTCGTTCCCTCCAGCAAATATGAGTGCAGGTGATAGGGAGATCCATATGATGGACTCTTTAAAGGCCTTCCGTCATTAGCACAATGATGGGTCCTTCAGTAATGAGGAAACACACCATAAAATTGGGCTATTCATTTGCTGTTGGATCTGTCAGAGTGTTTCATAAGATGATAGGGGCRTCATAGACCGATGTGGGAGGGGCTTCACCAGAAAATGGGAACTCTCTCACGGTACCTTGGCGTAACCTGAATATGAAGGGTGAGCACTCATTGGACAAAAAGGTTTACCTGAAAACGGCTCTAAACCTTGTCTGACAGAGGCCAAAGGGAAATTCATTCGATGAGTGGATATGATCCGTCACAAAAGGTGGTGGGGTTATGCAGCTGAAACAGTTGGCCTCACGCACCTCATGTGATTTCCCACATTTCTAGAGACATTCCGTCGTCTCCGTCACTGAGAGAGGAGGGAAATTTCAGAGATGAACAAATGGGAATGGAACATAGATTAAAAACCATATCTATGTAGGTAACATGAATCAAACTAAGGTTGTGGTCTAACGTCTTTGCTGTTTTATTAGAAAATGGAAAACAGTCAATTCACAAAACTTTTAGATGATAACAAGCTTAAGGGCCCAAACTATGCCGACTGGTATAGAAATCTTATGCTGGTCCTAACTTTTGAAAAGTTAGATAAGGTAGTGAAAAATCCTGCCCCGAAGCGTTCGGGTGATAGGGCTTCTGAGGCCCGTAGGAGGGACTACCCAGATTGGGAGAATAAGAACTCCCTAGCCCGCTGCTTTGTCATTGCCTCACTGGGCAACTCAATACAGAGGCAGTTCGATCAGATCGAACTAGCCAAGGACATATTGGACAGTCTTAAGACAATGTATGAAGAGCAGAACCGTTCTACTCGACAGAAGGTCCTGAAACTGTTCATGATCGCGCAGATGTCCAAAGGGCAGAAAGTTCATGACCATTGTCTTCAGATGATGTGCTACATTAACGAACTCGAAGCCCTTGGATTCGGGGTTAGATCTAGGCAC